TAGAAGTATATGCAATTTTAATACACATTCCCTGCATTCCCTGTATCTAGATTTTGATCACAGTCATGCAAGCTTTCTTATATTACCAGTGAGTACCTGTAATGTGAAGAAAATTGATTTTCACCCTTGTCACTGCTACCAGCACTGCTAGTATCTAAGGTTAATTAAAAGATAAGCTGTGGCTCTTCAAAACTTTTATGAGATTTCCTATCTCTTTTGCAATTTTGGGGGCATTGTTGTATTCAGCCATTTTAGAATTAAAACAACCCATTGTTGTCCTCTACTTGTATTTTCAACAATTAGATAACCAAAGGCAAAACAAGAACCACTTGCAGCCACCCTGTCCTTAGCAATCTGCAGAAAAAAAGAGAAAAATTGATAGATACGCTCTTTCCAACAGATACTAAAAGATTTAAAATATTCCCTTTTTAATCGTTTTCAAGCACTCACCGGTTGCCTCACACGGCAGAGCCAATTTTTCCAAAACAGAGCCTTGAATTGGGGTACAGTGTGCCCCATATCCTCTTTTCTCTCCTTCATCCACTTGCTGAGTGGCTTCTTAGGGACTTTCTAACTAAGAATCATCTCAAAGCAGTCCAAACGTATTATTCAGAAGCTGATTAATTCCAGCACTAGAGAATAGTGCAAGAGATTTGCCTGCTTCCTGAGAAAAGATGAGATTATGTGTCTGCCTCTTGCTTTTCATTCGTTGAGAAATCTCATCTTTCCGTCTGCTTCACAGTGCAATGAACAGTAAGGGGATGGGTTTGTATAAATGCCCTCAGGGTGCTTTACTCCACAGCGTACATTCTGCACTTGTTTCTACTTTTCTGGAATAAAAATAAATGCAAACGACAGGGGGGGAAAAAAAGAATATGTAACATACTTTTGTCTCTCTCTAAAAATGGGTGACTTTCTGTCACTTCAGTGTTAATGTCACTTTGTTTGCGTACGCTTAGATTTTTGGAAAAAAAAAAAAAAAGAACAGTAGGAAAATAAGTACACTGTTTAATCTCATAGTCCTAAAAATGTCAGTATACTTCTTGAACACCCTTATAAGTACACATCTAGCACTGTAGTGGACCCATTGAATCATCATATGACTACTGAAATTCCTTCTTATGAAGGATGTATGTTTGACATTCTCTTTCTTCTGTATAAGAAGCCTACATAGAGGCAGAATATTCTGACAAGTCAGAAAACTGTGTTAATGAACTGCCACACGCCACCCAGGATGAAAATCAGTCTTATAGCAGCAGTTCCTCTAGCAAAAAGGATGGTGGGCGATTCCTGGAGCTGTGTGAAGGGATCTTCTGGAGAGGAGCCTGTGCAGACCTGTGGTAACAGGGCCACTGGGAGACACAGCAGGTGTCTGGCAGTGCGGAGGGTGGCTACCTTACCCATCAGGAATGCCACCATGAACAGAGCAGTAAACTTTCTGTATGTTTTGCTCTACACAAAAGAATTGCCTAAGGTAGAATCTGATCCCCAAAAGTTCGCTCTATGCTCAATAGAGATGCCTAACACAGCCATCATAGAAGGTAATTCAAACTGCCAAGAATCTGAAATCATGAATCACACACACATAGGACAGCATGATGCCTGAACAAATATTTTTTATTTGTCATTATTGACAAGTAAATTGCATCATTACACTTTTTGCAAAATGTATTACTATTGAATGAAAGACACATCTTAACATCCACAGCTATTTTTCCACATTAAGAGTAAAATCCCCCAAAATGCAAAATATTTTTGGGTACAGAAGTCACCACAGAGGAATTCGACTTCCGTAAGCCAATGCAGCGATTAAAAAAGTTAATAAGGCTGATATTTCTGCAATTAACAACTGCATATCTGCAGGTCTATTGAGTTATGCCAGTTTCCGTAGCGGATGAGGATCAGTTAGTGTCCAGTGTCTTAGCTTGCCTTTCCCAAGCTCTGGATTTGGGTTACCCAGCAGCAGTTTTTGGCCCTCCGGAGCTCCTTGTGAAGTTTTGTTACTCCACTTCATAGTAAACTGACTGATTAGTCTGTTAAAATCTTTGTATTTGAAATGCTGCAAGTTTCTGTTTTAATTTTTACCTTTTCCATGGGTTCAAGAAGTAGAGAAAAAAGAGACTAAGTACGTGTCATGAATTCATAAATTTTTACATATTGGTCAAAATCATCTCCTAGCAAATCAGAAATCACAGATGCAGTCATGGCAGAATACAACTAGTTAAAGACCTTTATTCCTCAAAGATGGTGGGATTTGCTTTTATTCTCTTTGATCCAAGACTGAAAAAATACTGAAGTAATCATTTAGCTTCAAATAGAAATGTGAAAGTCCTCAAGACATACTAAAAAACTAAGTAGTTTAGTGTTTACCTGACTGTTGTTAAGCACATCTGTACCTCTGAGGCAGGATTAATTAATACCTCACCAAGGAGTTCCACTTCACAACCGGATGGCACTTCTGCTTTTAGTCAAGTAATACTAAAATCCCTGCTATTTCAGAGTATGGACAGTAATTTTTCTCACTAGGATCAAAGGCAAAATTCTGAGATAGCTGAGATGCACGGTTGAAGTATGCATTTTAACAAATATTTTTCAATAACTGAAATTGAAATGCGTGTTTTAATTTGTGTGGTTTCACACAGCCATTCTGGAAAGCCAGGGAGAAGAATCTATAGCATGTGATTTGTAGGCAATTATGAACTACTCAGCATAATGAATTAAAAAAGTTATAATAGCAACTAATATAGAAGACAGTTCCTGACTGTGTGAGCCAAAACAGCTCACATGAACCGTTTGCCAAATGGTTTTGAACAAGTTATTCTGCAAAGTCTCTGCTCATCTGAGTGTGTCATCTCTATAATTTATTATGCTCTGTATAATTACATATAAATGTGGCATTCTACTCTTTAATGCTAAACATCTTTTCACGGATACAGGAAACAACTATTTTGTATGGAATTAGTGTCCAGTACTAATGAACTGACTCCTCATTTTACTGTATAAGGCACTCAACAGACAAACACCTTTTACCATTCAGTTCTTTTGACTTCATTTTTCCTCCTACCTCATAGTCCTTTCCTATAGGAATTAATTCTTGCCTAGTATGGTGTCCTCCAGTAGCAGACTCATTTTTTCTAGAACAAAATTTAGGAAAGTTAAAAGTACCCCATGAACATTCCACCAAGAACAATCCCTGCAGTGACATTCTGAGAAATTACTTCTAGAAGTTGTATGAGCTTGTTTGTGTTATTTTCAATTGTTAATTTGAAATTGTTAATTTCAAATAGAAGTATGATAATTATTAAATCAAATTATCACCACCTGCCACACCCCCCCCCCAACAAAACCCTTGGCACAAAAGAACATGATAATATTAAAAATAATGCACACAAGTAGGAAAATTAAATCCATTCTGAATGTTTTTGGAAAGGCGTATCAGCTCTATTGCTGTCATCCTGGAAGCTCTTTAAAATGCCTTAGGTTTCATCAACACAGCATCAAGCAGTATCCTGTGCAAGTACCAGCCTTAAATAGCTATATTAACTATATAATTATTTCACTGCAAGGAACAGCTAATAGCTGCATTAACTGTATGCTTTCAGAGCTTATTGACAGAGTGTCTGTAATCAACAGCAGCATCTTGAACATTGCAGGGCAAATTAGAAAGGGATTTCATCATGTGCTCCACTCCTTCTGGAATGAAAAAAACCAGGCTCAGAATTGGATCTTAGAGTAAGGCAAAGACAGAGTGACAGAGTTTTCTGCTTTTGCTTAGCTCTGGTAGGCTTTGTCTCAGCCTTAACTTTACTCTTATAATATGCAAGTTATTCAAAACCACTGCTGCAGAGAAGGCAATAAACCTCCTGCAAGCATTCAGCTCTGGTTTTAAAACTTGACTGCTCTATAATATCATACCATCAACACACCACGTCTAGCCTACAGTTTTAATACAATGTAATTAGAGTAGGCTGGCAAGCACATTCAAAGAAACATAATTTCATGTGTTAAATAGGTTAAGGCCCAGGAGCCAAAAATACTGTTTGGTAAACAGGAATGCAGTCAGATCATATGAGAATATGGATGGGAATCTGGCAAACTGGCCTATTTTCCTTTCACCACCCACCATTTCTTTCGCAAAGTTTATTGGGCAATCACAAGGCTTTTATTTTAACATTAAGAGGAGTACTACTTGTAAATATTTACATGGTCCAGACCTGTGTCCCAGACAAAGTGCCTGCAGGATGACATCAATAGTAGCATCTTTCCTTGGAAACACTTCCTGTGTGCAAACTTAGGGCATGATCAAAAATGTGAGTCGTGGGCAAGGTTAAATAATAGGGCTGATTAAAATGGAGCTACACGTTAACCAACAAAACAGATCCAATCTCTCAAGGAGGAAGATGGTTTGTTTCAGCTTCTGAGAAGCACTAGGAATTTTACTCTTGTAAAATGACATACCAATACTATGCCATTAAATTAAAAATTTTTCTCAAAGTTACAAGCTCAGAACCCACAAGAAGCATCTAGAATCAGGTTTTTGTGTCATGTAAAACAGGTTCTGTCTGTCTTTTGCTGCTGCTTTGCTTTGTTTGTAGCCCGACCAAAAGCACTGACCCTGTCAGCATTACTCTTTCTTCTATTATTGTACCATAGAGTTTCAGATTTAATGTTGGTCTGTTCAGTGACCTCCTTTCTCTGCAAGAAGAAGATTTTTTGAACTGTAATTTAATCCATACTCTAGAGCATAATATTTAATGGTAATTATTTTAGAAATATAAAACATGCATTTTAGTCACTCAGTGTCATTAAATCACACTGCTGTGCTTTTTTCTAATCAGTTGTTGTATGCAGATCCAGTCCCCAAAGCCCCGTTTGCTGCTTGCACTACTGCACACTGCAGTCAGAATATAACTGGCTGCTGATGGGCAGGTCTGAAAGCATTCACCTGTCACTTGCCAAAGGAAATGAAGAACATTCCTGATTCAACCATATAAGCATTTTATTTAGAAATATATATTGAGATCCAGACTTGAGATGAAAACCCAGTTCTGTAACACAATGCACTGAAATTTCTTATCAAGGAATGATGTTAAAAAAAACGATATTGCATACTGCATGCATATATTTTCAAGAAATACTGAAATTACTGAATTATTTTGCTTGGGCTTTTAAAGGACAGATAAGAAAATTCATAATCTGGACATAGGTCATCCCAAAATGTTCCTTTTCAGGATTTCTCATACCTTCCATTTAAGAAAAATCCAAAAGTAAAATGCCAAAAGTAAAAATCCACTCCTTCAATTCACTAATTGAATTACTGGACTTTCTCAGTCTCTTGCAAATGGGAAACCACTGCATTTATAGCATGTCTTCATTATGGCCTCAGGCATTTCTTTAACAAAATTGTAGGAATGGGCCAGAAGACCAGGAATCACAGAACAAACCATTGGTAGAAACCACTGTTTTCTCCCTTCACTCTTCCACCCTATTTGTACCTTCTACCTTTCTTCTTTGCTTTTTATTCCTTCTGATCCCTGGATTAAATTGATTCTGTGGTGTATTGCTAGTGACAGGGTGGCACAGAGAACCATAGCAGGCCCTTGATTTGAAACAGAGGTTTCTGGTGTTTGAAGGATTTTTAAACCTACCACAAGACACTGCACTACGTAATATTGAACATATATGTAATATCACATATATTTTTAAAAATATCACCACTTTAAATCCTGATTCATGCTCTGCAGAAATAATGTGAATGGCTAATATTAAATAACTGAATTGCTTATAAAACCTGTAACTATTATATAACTCTCTATGCACGTCTCTGTAAAACCTACAGGAATGTAACTTCACAGCCGGATGCACACAGCTGATTCATTTCTTTATCTCCCTGTCCAGTTGCAGTCACAAGGGGAAATACAATTGTTCTTATCGGGGTAACATTCTGGCAAGTTTCCTCTGAAGCCAGGATTTGTCTGTAGAGCCCCTTCTTGCATTAGGATAACAGCATCAGAGGATGGTGATCACCAGAAGCAGGAGGATACTCGGTCTCTTTTGAATCCTAATTGTAAACTGTCATACACCCCTTTACTCCATTTGGTGGGAAGCACAGAAGAAAAATATTTTAGCAGAAAGAAATGTACAGTGTCCTAAAGAACAGTGAGAAGGAGAAAGGACATCTTCAAGGGCTTCTGCCAGGGTCTGGGGTATTGATTTAATACAGGAGTTGCATCACTCCATGAATGCCTGACCCTTAGCTCCAGTTCAGCCAAGCCACAAGACCATTTATATTTCAGCACTCAGCACATAAGAGTTTTCATATTAGTTCTCAAAATAGAAGTGCTTACTTTTTATGACTGTAAATACAAAAGCTTTGTAGTTTCAATTGACAGCACATGCTGTTAAAATGATTCAAGAACTTCTTTTTAATCTGTTTCCAGATTCTTGCTGTCCTTCTTTTAAAAAGACAATCACATCATTTCAGATTCATACTCCCAGGACAACTGCAATAATATCCTTCCCTAGAGTTTTACAGAGACACATTTGATATTTTTGTTTTCTACCTAAAGCATTTTTTCTTCTCTTTGGATACTTCTTAGTATTTCTTGTACAACAGCGAATTATCTCCTCCAAACCCATACTGGTCAATTTGGTATAAGCTTTTCTTCACACTAAAGTGCAGCACACTGTTTCTAAAGTGATCTCCTTTTTATCTCATTACTGTTTTGAGAAACAGGACGTTGCAGAGAAAGGATGTGCTTCATTGCATGTTTCCCAAAGGGCCTCACAAGCTTTGTCAATGACTAGACAAGCACTAGGCATGGTTAAGCACAGTTAAGATTTTTTTTGTTAATTATTATATTTTTTAAAAAAAACAAGGGATAAACAGTTCAAACAAAATGTGGAGCAATTTTCACCTACCTCCTTCCTTTAAGCTTAGGGAAAAAAGTTTTCTGTGAAAACTTACATGCACAGTATATACTCATCCTAAATGAGAAAGTGTGGCTTTAAAATTAAAAGAAGATTAAATTAGTAACATTTAAAAAGTTACTAATCTGTCCTCCAGCTAAAAGTGCATCAAATTTAAGGAGACTGGTTCTCATTCGCAGTTTTCTGTTCACGAGACTTACCATCCCTTTTTGAATGTTTCCATCACATTGCTTGCAGTCTCTGTCACTTGCTGAATGTGCCCACTACAACATCACATCCTCATAGTTCTAACTCTTGTGCTTGTTAACAGTGTTGCAGACTACAATCCCAAAAAAGCAAATCTCACTTTGCTGGATCAGCGACAGCTGTTCTGAGAGCTTATTCAGACCCTTTTGACCTGTGACCTTCCTAGGACTGAACACCCCATGCCAGTAGAATGGAGAAAAGAAAAAACTGTGATACATTTTCTTTAGCTGATCACATGTTTATATTCTAATCAGAGCTGCAAAGTAGCAATGACTATGATTTCTAGAAAAACCCCAAAAACTTGGGCCAATGATAGTGGAAAAAGCTGCAACTACAGAAGGGGTTTTGATGGCATGTACAGTCAACAGATATTCTCCAGTTCTTTAGAAGAACTGGAAACCATTGCAACAGTGAATGTTTTGTCCTGAAAACATAGAGATGAAAACCAATTTAAAAAAAAGAATAAAAAAAGAGCTACCATAATACAGGCCTGTGAACATGCTGTACATTTGAATGCCAGTTCCTCTTCACAAGCAGAAGGTGCCTAGCTTTAGCAAAAGATTGCAAGTTCTTCAATGCATAAATGTTTCCTGGATATTGATTTAATTGTATAGTTAAAGTATGGTTGGATTAATATCTAAGAAGTACAGATATTCAACAGTTCAGTGTCAAGTCCTTCAGGCTTAGAAAATTCAGTCCCAACACTTTGCAATTTCATTAAATTTTAATATATGAAAATAGTATTGTTCATTTGTCAAAGTTTGCAAAAAAATGAACTGCATTCACTTTAGGTTTCCTTTACATGTGAAGCAACAAAGACAATTATAACTTACATAATTTTTTAACAATGAGGAAGGGATTAGCATTTTTAAGTTAATTTGGTGGTTTGCAAGTATTTGGCAATAAAATTTGATTTCTTTACTAGTTTTTTTCTTTTACAGCAGGGATAAATAAAGCTTTTTCACATATTATAGCAGGCTTGTCCTTCACAACAAAACCACTTTCCAATTCATGGAAAAGTGAGTTTTATATCCACCGACACATAACTAAGCAAAACTTAACTGAAGTCCATTCAGCACATTCAGTTCCCAAAGAACAGTAACATAAATGATTAACTTCCACAGACACACGGAATGCTGTAAGTTATCCTGAGGCAAAAGACTTGTAATGCACAGAAGTTGTAACCGTGACTTCATCTGTACAAAGGCCTTCTCCTTCTCTAAAACAAAGATGGATATTTCATGCTTTCCCAAGACATTTCTTAATGAAATATCCCACTAACTTCTGTGGCCTCTGCTGATACTCCACAAGGACATCATGTGAGCTGCTGATTTGATCTCCTTCGAGCCGATTCAGAAGAGTGACACACACTACAGCAGCTAGAATTTAAAAGACAGAATTAGTTAGGAATAACATTCCTGCACTTGTACAGTCCAAAAGCATAAGTATTTGAATGAACATCTAGAAGATAAGAATTACAAGAGAAAACAAAATGCAAAAAAGGGTGTGCAGTACCACAAGATGCTAGTGTACTAGCACTCTGTGGAGGATATAAGTCAGAAATAGCTTAAGAGATTGCTACATTAATGAAGCCAGAGCTCTCAGGCAGCTGCAGACACTTATTGTCATATCATGATTCTTGTGTTTTTCTGGATAGGAAGTATATTTCACAAGTAGCCAGGACTTGACTGGTAGGAAGTGACTAAACACACTGTTCTAGCAGATGTAGTTACAGTCGTCTCCCTTAATCCCAGGCCAAGTGCCTGTGCTGTAAGTGCCATCCCTCAGGAAGCAGCAGATAAGCCCCCTCCACATTCACAGACAGGGAGCACTGCAACCACATAACAACCCCATGGACCATCTCAGGCTTATCTGCTGCCTTTCAGCACCAAAGGCAAAATCCCTCCTTTCCCTCCAGCTGAGCTCTCCCCCTCAACCCTATCACTGTGCTCTGTTTGGGGTTTCTGCCAGAGGGAATTTGCAGAGCACAAGCAGCAAATACACATCACAGACCTACAAGGCAGAGACAGCAAAAAGGACCAGGCTCCATAATGGCTCAGGGATACCACTGATTGGGTTTTTAATCACTCAAACCAGTAACAACTAAGGATGTCTGATATAACTGTAGGCCTTTTTGCTTATATTTCTTCACTTCATCCTCCTTAAGTTTAAGAAGTTTGAGTGTTTTAAATTGGCAAATCCCTTGCTAAGGAAAGTGAGAGAAGACAGTTTAGACAGTAAGAAGAAAATCACTGTATTATGTTACTTGTAATTGCTTTTTTCCCCCCGATCTTTACTGAAAATTAGTTTGTGGAAAATATTTGAAAATTCATTTTATGATTGGAAATGGTTTATTCATGATGCTACTAAAACTCCTCAACTGTTTAAGAATCAAAGTTTTACATCTACACAAAATACTTTTATTTTCAACTTGATATGAAAGTACAGACAGTTAGTATAGTTCTATACATATGAGAATCACCTGATTGCTTAAACTAACCAGTTGCTCTCTGTAAACTTCAAAAGCTAACTGAACAAATGAATGACAGGGGTAATTAGGTATTTAAATGATTTACATGGTTGCCAGGGGCTGGATTAGCAAATGACAATAGCAAACTCTGTAAAATCTATATGAAGTTTGATAAGTTATGACACAGCTGATACAAATCAAGCAATTGTAGCAACAAAATTACAAGCAGAACTGGGGTGGAGGGAGAGTTTGGCTTATATGCAGAAGGTATGTTAACACTTCATTTGCAGTTTTTAACCACAAACCCCCCGCAATGCAGAAAACTTCCTGTAGGTTGGATAAAGTGACTGAGTTGGTTTACCTTTGACACCGCTGAGATTACACATTGCAGCAAATACGGAAGACTCCATCTCAATGTTTCTGACACCAGAATCATAAGCTTTCTTCAAATATTGCAGTTTTTCTTCTTCATTGTATAAGCAGATTGCACCATCCAACCTGCCCTGTCCTAGAAAGTAATTATGTGGAAAATTTCAGAGTGATGAAGTCACAGACAAATTCAGTTTTGAAAACACCCAGGTATTACAGTTTCCCCCATACAGTGTTCAGCTTTTATTACTACTCTTTATTTTTGCGCACGAGACAAATAGGAAAAAGTGATTCTTAGCTATTGCTAGAAGTTCTACATCATAGCTGTATTTTTTATAATGTGAATCATGGTAATTTAACTGGTCTTCTTCAGCTTAAATTCTCAAATTCACAGACAGGAAACTGTACACAGTAGATTCCCACATGTGCAGCAAGCATCAAAATTCAGCAACAAACTTTAAGTTGTATGGAAGTGCTGAATTTTTTAATATGTTTAACCATTGTCTAGAAAAACTGCCAGGTTTAAAAAATGTTTTTGTGTTTCTATTTTGAAAGGATGAACATTTCATTACTTACAGACTCTCTAAGGTAAGAGGTGAAGAGTCTCTTAAGCTAACTAGTCAATATTATTATAATTGTTTGAGAAAAGTTTTATTCGAATTATTCAAGAATAGCACCTACAGATAAAATAGTAGCAGGTTGTGTATAGTAAAGTTAAATTACATTGTATTTTACTCAGTATCTTCTTGGTTTTGGAAAATGCACTCCTGAATAAATGCCCTTGAGCCTGTTCTCAGCTTTTGCTGTATGAGTTGAAAATGTCCCTGACACTTTTTTTAGTGTTCCTTGCACCTGTGGTTGGTGCCTGGGGAGATACACAAACTAACAGTGTGTGCTTCTGCCCAAGCTGGAGCACTGTGACGATGACCATGCATTTTCCCTTGAACTGCACCCTTTGTCACCTACTCAGCAACACCTAGAGAAAGTGGGATCAGGTGCCATTTACACTCTATTCTTGAAAGGTTTGAGAGGTGTTTCTGAATAAACATCTAGATTTGAGAGATCAGAAAAGCACCTGAATGTCTGGATGTTTATCGAAAGTAAGCCTTGGAGATTTTTGCCTCCTACGAAGCAGTCACTGACACAACTCAGCAAAATATTGTCTTCAGTTGTCTGATCACTGCTTTGCTCAAAATGAAACAAGTTCCAACAATTCTTTTAGGAAATATTTACCTTAGGTATTTAATTAGTGCAAAGAAAACCAACTCCAAACCAGTTACAGATAATTTTCATTCCTCTATTTGTGACAAATACACCAGACAAGTACATGTAGACTATATGTACTTCAGAGGATCTATTAAAGCTGAAGGGGTATCTCCATAAAATTAAAAGTTTAATACAGCAAACTGGTAAGTACAATGCTTAATTTTATGTAGATGAAAAAGTGGTTAATTACGATTGGTGAGACAATGCACAGCAGGGAATGCATTCTGTTCAGTGAACTGGAAGCTTAATGTTACTACATTATCCAGTACTTATCTATTGCTTCTTACCAATAATTTTCTGCTGGTCTGTCACCAGCCTTACCTTCATAGAAATCCAAAGTGCACATGGTGTTCCCAATGACTGTGTTGAACTGACCAATTTCTTTACTGCACTGCATCAGCTCCTGAGCCAGCTGTTCATCTAGGTTAGTACTGCGAATTACTGTCTTTCCCAGAACAACCTGTTCCAACTGAGGTTTGAAGGTGGCATCTACAGATTGCCTAGTTATAACCACTGAGCCTGGCTCCAGACCTGCAGCAAAAAGAAATAGATATAACTTCACAATGCAGTTAACACTTTGTTTCCACAGACATAAAACTTAAATCTTGACCCAATCCTGCTTCTTTGATAGGTAGTCATTTTGCCCCTGAATTCATCAGGAAAATTTTCTGCCCATGCCTAGCTGCTTCCATTTAAAATTACAAATAATTTTTGAAAGAATGATTTTTTTTTTCACTACATGTTCTTTCTTATATCATAGAGGACAGGAAGATCCTTTTCACAGTCAGATCTCTTAAGTGCATTTTCTCTATCAAAAGGCAGGGTTTGCCTTTACTTTCAAAATTACAGAAGAAAAATTATTCAGCTCCTGTGGAAAACTGTTCTGACCATCAATCACTTACATACAGAGAGATGCCCAACTTTCCTACAATGATACTTATGTTTACAGAAATAAAACAGAAATCAAGAGGGAAAATACCTATTCCACCAGAGGTGCCAATGCGAATGATGGTTATGTTGGAACACTTGGCATGATACAACAGTTTGATCAGCTCGTGCAACATGATTGAAATAGAAGGAATGCCCATACCATGCTGAAAAGAAAGCAGAAATTCATACTCCACATTCACATAGGTAATGCAAAATATATATGGAAAAAGGAGTTGAACATTTTCTCCTTCCTGGTATTTTTTTCCAAATGCCACCTAACTCACTCCCCAAAATCCCCAGTCTCTGGGCCTACTGAAAGGCTATTATAGATAAACATAGAGACTCCCATTGACTTTGGTAGATTGCGGATGAAATACAGTATTTCTAAAAATCATGACTTACAAAACATTTACATTCTCAAGAGTATAAACAGTGTCCTTTCCCAATAGCTGACTACTGCACTTCATCAGAGAACATTTCCTAAACACAAGAAAAACCCCACTTTGACTTTTTCACCAACCTGAAGTGCTAGTGAATAGTTAAGCTAAATTTTTTTCAAAACACAGACATCGTGGTTTACTCTCAATGTTCAGCAAATAGAAGTTCACCTTAACTTGCGCAGCACTATGATAATTACAGATCGAAAGAAAGGGTGCAGAGTAATATTACAGTTTTGCAATTGCAATTGAAGTATGCAATTGTATTTACAAATTAAAGGTATGAAGTTTTAAAATGCATATATGAGTTGGCACCAGTCCCATGGCAAATGTCTAAGCCATATGGCATATGTTAAGACTATAGTTTTAAGCTATAGTAGCATATTTGACGGTGCCATTGCAGAGATGTAGCTCTGGATGTGATACAGCCATTTTCTCCAGTACCCCACATACCTCAAATGACATTTTGTCCCCATTACTTAGGCTACAGAACAGGGATGAGGCAAGAGTAAGTCTGCTTAAAAAATTGATAACACCATTCCTGCAACACCTCAGTGGTACACTGAGGAAAAAAGGATGCAAGAAGGAAAGAAGGCGCTGCAGGTTTTCCCTCTTAGGAGAAAGGGTTGAAAAGGAAGTCTTAATTAGCAGGCTGCACTATTTTGAGCACAGTTGATACAAACTTAACAGCCTGACTCAGCCTATCAAAGGTTTAAGAGAAACACGCATTCATAACTTCTACTTTGAACAGCATTGCTGAACTGTGTCCCGTATCAGATGACATGAGGCACTCACGCTGACAGACAGAACAGGTCCCACTTTGTACATGGCGTAGCGGTCAGTGCCTGCGCAGATGTTGGGGTAGTCACAACCGGGGCTCCCAAGGCCCAGCTCCTCCGCTATGTAGGCGATAAAAGCTTTCATCCGTGAAGGGCTTCCTCCAACACACACAAACTGCGGTGGACAGTATTCAACAAAGCAAAACCAGTTGCGTGATTCAGTAGGTCAAGGCATGTCCGAAGAACAACACGAGTATATGCAAACGCTTTCAGTAAACACTAAGTTATCCCCAGATATAGTTCTTCTCGAAATCATTCTAAAACATCATGAAGAAAAATTATGGAAAAAAAAACCCAGCTGTCTATATAGCACTCAAATGCCTTCATCCTGTTTAAACTAGTAAAAGACAAATACTGGCATGAAGACCCAATAAACAGGAATTCTAACTGAACAGAGCCTACAGCATTTGCCTTTTTACTGAATGGAAAGAGACAGCCAAAATCAATTATCCCCAACATTTTTAGATACAGAAGGTGACAAGAACCCACAAAACCTTTTCCTCTTTGCATTCATTCCTCAGTCAGTGGTCCGTTGACACATTTAGTCTTATTTTGAAGACAGCTACACTTGCATTTTCTGCAGAAAAGATCAGGCTTGCTGAACACAGCAATGCATCTTACCTTTACATCTCCAAACAGTGCCGGAAAATCATGGGTACCAGTCCCAAGAGCAAAATGGTACAGGATGTCTTCTTTCATTTTCTCCAGGTGAGGGTTGCACAGATGGATAAAATTCTCTCTGCCAAGACAGCAGCATTGTGAAACATATAGAGTGTATACAATCCTATATGTTGAACAGATGCCAATTCTTCAAAGTCAAGCAGATGAAGTTGGGAAATACCACACATAGGTATGCCTGCATTACCTTATTTTGATTCCTCATGCATTGCGTTGAGGAAATCCTACATTTTGTAATTGCCTTACATCTTGTAATAAATCACATATGACATTTAATATTCCATTCATTGCACAGGTGAAATTGCTGAAGAAAAGTCCAGCTGCTAGGATGCATTTGCAACTGTGCAACATTCACCTTAAACAATATTAAATATGTGAACCACAGTGGGTCTTTATGGTGAACAGAACAATAGGAGCAGGACCAGGGAATATATAATAGACTACCTTACTACAAAGACAATCTATAGCAAAGCTGAAAAGCAAGCAGCCTCTGTTTTGACTGAAACTCCCCACCTACCAACAACAGCTACTTGAGAAGGAGGGCATGATTTGGGCTTTTTAGACAGGCACAAAGTGGATTTCTGTCAATTTGGCTGTGTCATATACACAGGAGGAAAAATATCCTACAGCATGAGACTGATAACAAGGGTACAGAGAATCTGAAATAAGAGAGAAAGAGGGAAATGAAAATCTGAAGCAAAGAGAAAACCACAGGAGAGAAAAAAAAAAAAAAAGGGAAAAGACAGGAAGAGGTAAAAAGAATTAATTTCTTCTTAAGTTGCTTCTTGTAAGGAAGTGATACAACTTAAAATAAAAGTAAAAATTAATCTGTCTAAAGAGCCAGGAAATGACAGGGCAAAGAGGGAAACCTGAACTATTTGGCATATGGGATCACCTTCATGGAAAATTCAATAGTGGACTAACTAAACAAGCTGTCTGATTCATAAACTGTCTGCCTTCTGTGCTTGATGTTTTAAGTTCAAGTGAAACTTAAAAGGTAGAAAAGACTAGTCAATAATCACAAGCTTAAGCAGAACCCTGGCCAGTACTTCAAAGTAATTTCTGAGGGATGGAATCAAGCAGTAAATAGCTTTCAGGCACAAGAAGATGGGTTAGCTTAATTAATAGCTTAATGGAGGCTCAGTTCAGGCATAGCACAGCTCAGCAAATTCAAACTGCTTTGTCAGAGGAGACAAAAAAAGTTCACCTGAATTTTATGCAAAAAATCATTAAGACTTTGCAGAAACAACTCTGAATCCTAAACAGAGGCATTTAGCGCTATTTTAGATGGTTTAGGTTATCTTGTCTGCCTTCTAATGCCTCTCCAGAAAAGCAGTGCTTTCCTGTAGGTCCTGCACAGGACGTATGGGTTACCTTAGGAAGCCTACAATGGCCAAAATACCCATGTTGAGGTCACTGAACTGTTCCTCAAAAAGCAAATAGTTACAACCCAAACACTGCTGAGTACAGCAATCGCTTCTGCTCTTGGCATTCTCTTTCCAATATCACTAACTATCCAGTAGCAACTGTACAACCAAAGAAAAAGGTGTCTTCCCAACCCATCCTATCTGTCCTTGCCGACCACAGACAACTATCTTCAGAAACTGAAGGAGCTGCCCAATCAGGCAGCTAGTCACCCCTTCAGTAGGAATTCCCTTCCATCTATGACAGGTCCCATTTGCCTCTCTTCATACAAATCCCGCCTGAGGTGGAACCAAAGACTGGCTGCCTTTGTTCTTCCTCCCAAGAGACCTGTCTGACTCTGGAAGAACTAAAGAGCAGGTTTATGGCTTGTCAGGAAGGCAAAGACAGCCTAGGAGTCTGCCAGCTCATGTGAGCAGAATTCCCAGGCTGCCTTCCCTGAATTATTCCTGTTCATTTTTGTGGGAGTCCCTACCCTTATTTACTGGGTCACTCACTAATGCAGATCCAATATCCGGCTGTGCTGATGTTCATTGGAATGGCTTTTACATACAAATAGGATATGATTTGAAATCACTTTACAACCTGTTCTCAGGCAAGCAAAAAAAAAAAATTTCCTTCTTTATCAGAACACTGGCAATAAAAGCCTCTCTCCAGGAAATAAACTGGGAAAAGGCGAGGCCTCTATTAAAACTACAGGGAAATTCATGTGGTGTGTGCCAACACCACTGTCCTCATGCCTGGCAAAACACAGCCTCCTTCCTCAGCAGTGGCTATATTCCACCCTTTTCCTCTCACACCCCACCACCACCACTCTCTGACCCACCACCTCACTGCAGCGCTGGGCCGTTACCAACTTCCACAGCTTATCTGCACATCTAATTGTAGACTTGGGCCCTAGGGTAAAATGGGCAATAAAAACAAGCATATTTCCATGTGTACATAGGACCAATGCCATAGATTTACAGTAGAGGCAAAGTTTTCTTGATTAAAATCTTTGGCATGAAAATCTCAGGTGAAGAAAATTTATTTCCCTCCAGCTGTTGTAAAGCACCTACAACTGCTGAGGGTTTAAGTAAAATACAAGTATCTGAAGACTAAACACGCATGTACGGTATTAGTAAAATAAGCTTAAAGTAAAGATTAGAGAAACACATTGAAATATTTGTTTCAACTCTTGAAGCAGGTAGGTCTGATCATATGCAGCAACCGTAGTTGACATTTCAGTAGCTCACTAGATTAAAATAAGTAAATAAATAAAAACATCACCCAGGCTTGGAAAAAATCACTGTTGAGATAAAGGAAAATGGCTAGCTCTGTGGTGTGGTAAAGCAATAAAGTACCCATTTGTCAAAACAGCTCCTATTGGATACCTGATGTTATAATCAATATTTGTATCATACCTTAGCTAAATGAGTGTGTAATGAGTTTGGGAAGGAAGGTTAAGTGGATAAAGTAATTAATTTCTGACTCTTACTTTGAAGCCTCTTCATCGTCAGTTTTCTTCTCATTCGAGGCACCAGGAGCCATGTGTGTTTATACCTAGAATTATATTTAAAAAAATAGATATAAGTGCATCAGAATAGTCCCATCTGTAAAGCTAGAAGCATTAACAGAGAAACCTTCTGTATCTATAACTCTCATGAATATTAAATCCCCCAAATAATCCAGCCACACTACAGCTTTTATAACTGTAGCAAAATGAACATCAACAATTTTTATCGCTGAGTATCACCATAACTGATCACCACTTTCAAACCGCCCAAGCCTAAACTAATCCCTTGCCAACATAACCCCCACCTCACAACTGCCTCTGTTCTGTGCTACGAGCAGCAGCAGGCTTGTGGGACAGAGAGAGGCAAGTCTCATTGCTAACTAACCCTGTTTTTTCCATACCTCCCACAGCAACAGGGACTTCCGAACCAGCTTCAGCCCCCTTCCACCTCTGGCTCCAGAAAGTCTCCAAAGCTCAGCTGTAACTGTCAGACGCCTGAAAAACCCAAGTCCAGGAAACATCTAACTCATAATATCCTCTTCATTAAGCTCCTCCTACTGACCTTAAGAGCCCTTTGTCTGCAACAGCGTAAAGGCAAGGAACACGAAAGTAAAACATGACTCTAAAAAGGCACAGCCCTCCAGTTTATCATCCATCCTGAAAAGTTTCTGGCTGATCCACTGCCCTAACCTATACCCAAAACCTTCTCCTTTCTGCATTCTTCTTTACATTTTAAGAGGCAAATATATCACTAAGGCTTTGGTGCTGATACAAAGACAGAATTATAATTATAGAATGATTCATTTGTTATTATTTTCAGAAGTGACTAAGACTACGTGCTGAAGTTGGTACCTCCTGGGAATGCCCTTCTGGGAAATACTGAATCACAAAGTTTTGCTCTACCCTTCCCTAAGAAGGGCCTGACAGTACAGAGGTTATAATAGAGACAGGACTTTTAATCCTTAAAAACACCAGGATTACACTACGAGGAAACAGAAAGAAATTGGTCTTGCAATAGAATTACATCATATGTAATGTAATTCTTCTTTTGAGAGAAGTGAAAAACCAAACAAAATAAACCAGAGGCCTGCCTGTTAAAAGTCACTGAATAATGGAAATGTATTAAAAATTACACAGACAATTAGTTTTCTCCATTTAAAATATTAACCTTTATTAAATAGACCTAAACTTCACATGTACTAGATATACTAAATGTATACAACCATCTCTGCTCAAGGAGGCAGAGTATAAAAGTCGCATTCAGAATCAGTTACACATTCTTATGGTGGTATGACTAGAGTCAGCTACTCCAGAGTATCACCATCATTCCACGGGCATTACAGGGAAAATGCATCATTTCTTCCAAGAAAACTACAGCGCTTTGAGCCCAAGTAAAGAGGAGCTGAAAGCTGTGAAGAGGAGTTGGAAAGTAAGAAGAAGAAACAGCAAAGTGATTTTTATGTACTGGGATGACATAGGGTTGCAAACAAACCGAAGATATTCATTCAGCTGTTGTTCACAGTATTAAGCATCCACGTGATTTTTAACGGTATTCTCCATTCTGTGATCCCTTAAGTAATGATACACTTCAAAAAACTGAGAACAAAGTTCTGACGGTCCAAAGGTCCAGCATACCCTTTCCAACGGCTGCAGGTACCTTGGCAGGAATGGAAGTAAGGAGCAAACAGAAAGCAGCTTTCCCATGGCTAACCCTGCCATCAATCAGGTAGTAGCTGACAAGCAGCCAGTTAATGTAAAGCCACAAAACTCTCACACTGTCTAAATAAATGGAAATTTTTACAGCCATTTCAAAAGTTTCTGTAGTGTGCCTCAGCCTAAGTTAAAACTGACATTCAACAATAATATGCTCCTGATTCAGCTCAAGAAAGGGCACGGCCTGCTTTAACGTGTGTGCACATCATAGGATGGTTTGGGTCAGAACAGACCCTAAAGATCATCTAGTTCCAACCCCTCCACCACGGGCAGGGTCACTTTTCACTGAAACAGAGTGCTCAGAGCTCCATCCACCCTGGCCTGGAAAACCTCCAGGGACAGGGCAACCACAACTTCTCTTGGGCAACCTGCTCCAGTGTCTCACCACCCTCTAGTGAAAATTCCTAATATCCTCAAGAGTGAAAAATTACTAGTATCTCATCTAAACCTCTAAATCCTCAGACTGGTGTTTTAAAACCAGGAAGGATTCATTACAATAGCCATCTCTCACATCCTCCCCACACTCGTCATTTTTGAAGAAAGTCAACAGCCAATAGTTTCTGTACGGAAAAGCTCTGGTTCGGTGTTGATCCATCATCAGGAAAAGCTGAAGTCGCCGCAAAACTGATTTTACCCCGCTGGTCCCCTCCGTAGGCCGCCCCGCCGCTTCTCGCTGCTGCCGGAGCGCTCTCCCGCCCCGCAGACGGAGCAACCGCCCGGGCACCGCCGAAAACAGCGCTCGTCGGACCGACCCCTGCGCCCGGCGCCCCGCCCTGCCCCATCCGCTCCCCGCCACCGCCCCCCTGAAGGTTTGGAGATGCCCCGAGCACCCCGCCACCCTCCCGGGGGCAGACCGCCGGGAATCCGCCCTCCTGCCGCCGCTCCTAGGGGGCGGCGCCCGGTGGGACGCGGCTCTCACCGCGGAGGCGGCGGGGTCCGCCTCTGGGAAACGAGAAGAGCGGCTCGCTGCTCCCGGGAGGGCTGCGGGGCCCCGGGCCGGGCCACCTCCCGCTGGCGGCGGCACCGCCCCGCCCAGGGCCCGGTTAACCCCCTGCGCGCCGTGCAGGCTGCGGGAGGGCGGCCCGGCTGTGCGGGAACCGTCGTGTTCCCGGGCGGGCACAGGGAGCGGGAGCAACACGGCCGGTGTGAGAAAAAGTGTGTAAAGAAGCGGGGAAGAGCGGGGCTCCTCCAGGAGAGCTGCCGCCAGGGCACGGGGGTTCGGAAGGACCTTGTCCTAGAGATACAGATACGCACGGAGGTGCGGGCACGCCGAGGATGGTGGAGTCGGGTCGGGCTATGCGGGCGTCGGTGCCTGTGCCTGTGTCTGCCCGAGGGTCGGTACGTACCGGCTGTAACCGCGCTGGCCGCTCTCACAGCAGGGATGGCTTCGGCTACTGGAACTCACTACTTAGTTGGAAGGGACCTACAACTGATAGCTGAGTTTTGAGATGTCACAAGAACTAACAGTTTTTGCAGCGCAACGTGCCCTAGGAACTGAACGTGTAGCTGAGCCGAATCATTTAAAAGGACTAACCAAGCAAAGTAAGGAAACAGTGAAGAAGGGAACTGAGGCAGCCAGCCAAGCAGCAGCAGCTTACTCTATAACCAAGGATATTGTCTTAAAAGTTCATAAGGTGGTCACTTAGAACTTTGGGGCCTCCAGAAATAGATGACCACCAGAAACCCCCAGTGAAGCCCCTCAGAGATGTATTATAAGGATATGTATATATATGCTAGTAAGTGTTAGAAATGTGATGAATATGTAACAGGAATATGGGGAACAAAAAAAAATCAAGTAATGCTGACATATAAGCTGCAGTGGAGCTACCTCTGTGTGCACTGCGGTGGGCTGATTCCCAGGGCACCCTGAGTGCTGTGATCACACAGCATATCATAATAAAGAATGCCTGCCTGCTAAAACTCACAAAGTGAATCTCAGAGGTTTCTTTATTTTAGGTAACATAATGACCATTTAGTCCAGCTGCCCAACCGCTTCAGGGTTGAACAAAGGTTAACATAGCAAAAAAAAAAAAAAAAAAAATCATTAATCACACTGAAAGCGTAAATTTAATGTTATTCATACAGTAACTGAAGACAAAACCCCCACAGTTCTACAACGCATTTTTAAAAATACTTTTTTCTACCAGAACCACTCTGTAGTTTGTCACAGTAGGGAATTCTTGGGAGACAGAGTAACTAAAACCTGTTTGGTACAGGATCTTCTATGCCTCAGGATGGTAAAAACATTGGGCACAAGGCATTGCTGAGATGTATTTATTGCAAAATTACATACGGGGCATTTAGAATAAAATCTCTTAATATTCTGTCTCACACCAAAGGACTTGGAATGGGTTTACAAAAGAGAGAAATCCCCTGCACACAGATGCATTTCTAGGCATTAACAACACGCAAGAGGAATTGCTCAACAAAGTCAGAAAAAACCCATATTTCCAGTGGGTAAAACAGAAGCACAGCCTTCTAACCCATCTTTCATTTTCCCATTCCTTGAATATTTGTCAAGATTTCCAAGCTATGGTAATGGACAAGCACCTTAGAAGAGTGTCTTAATTTTATGGAAGAAATCTTTCCTTTAAACAGGAATATTACCTACCCTTTCATCTCAGGGTCCACTGAAAAATCTGCTTTAGCTTTCAGGACGTTTTCCATTCAGCTATATATCAAGAGAATAAACAATGTAAATGGCTTCTTTTGTAAATAATCAGGTTACTATAGTTACCTTGTCTGAAACATTCAATAAATTATGCACTTCTGTGAGTCTAATAATTGGTAGTAACCTTTGCTCTCAGTCAGCTCTAGAAAACTTTAAATGTCTTTTAGTCTCCTGGTTTTTGTAGTGTTTGGGTTTTCATTCTATTTAGATTTAGTGGGAAAGATACCTCCTAAGTACAAATACAATGTTAATGTTGTTTTAGAAGGGTGAAAAATACACAGCTATGTGCTGCGGTTATAACAACAATATGTAATTTGCCTCACTTTTCAGATTTTTATATTGCATGATGAAAATTTGCATTTTTGGAAAGATGCAGGCTGTTTTTTAATTATCATAGTCTCCTTTCTGCCTACCATTTTTATAGTCAATTGGTCAAATAATTCAGTGCAGCTGTTTTATTCACTGCATTTTGATTCTTCAATCACTCTGGATGTTTTGTATCATTAAAACTATTAATAGGAGGAAAAAATGTGCCAAGACTGAACTTTTGTATTTCTATTTCTAGCTTTTTTTTTTTTCCCAGGCTATAGCATAAGATGTAATTGCATTCTGAAAAATTATCTGCAGAGAACAGCAGAAGCAGAGTATTAGGCTATTTGTCTGCAGAAAGAAATTGGGCTTCATCCCACATCTTTTACAACTAAGTCTGTGTTTTCAGCACGGATACAAGTATTTAAAAAATAGATATGCCAAAGTCAATGGAATTTTACATGCTTGAGAAGCACAAGTCAATTGAATTTTTGTTTGTTTTGAAAACTTAATGCATACATACCCTTGATCTCTGAAACATGTTTATATTTTACTCTAGTTTAAAAAGACATAAGCAGTAAGATTTATCTATTAGGTATATATCAGAACTCATTAAAATGAAAACAGCCATTAGACTTCATTACAGTGAAATGGCTGCATATAAAAGGAAAATTACTCTTCGGTTGCTAAACTGCCAAGTTATTGTTAAATCTTTATCTACAATTCTCTTTTAAAAATATTCACATACTCATTATACTTGGATGCAATTAATAAAATGTAACTGCACTTTAATCTTTGGGCTTGCAATCGGAATTCAAAAAAAAAAAAGATCTCTTTTACTACTTGAAGACATTCAGGGCAGAGATGGAACACAACACAATGAAACAAACATTTCAGCATTTAAAACAAAAAGGCTAGATTTTGTAGTAAGCACCCAGCTTTTGACTTGAGCATTTCTCTGAAAAACAAACACGGAAAACCAGAACCTTCCACTGCTTCTATATGGAACTGCTGATGACTTTGAAAACTGCCAACTGCATGACTGCATTGACTCAGAAGTAAATAGAACAACATGATTACTGCGATAAGGTGAACTCACTTCTATCCTTGTGTTCAGCTGGAGCTTAATTTGTTACACCACTTTGATTTCATATCCCTTGGAGAACAGGAAGGTTGTGCTTTTGCTGCAGGTCTCCATTATTCTAAATGCACAAACACATATTCCAGGATTGCCCCCCTGCTCTTATGAAATCTCAGGCTTGTTAATATCCTAACTCATGGTATTCAAACTGTGATCCGTCCAGAGTCAGCTGACCAACAATTCAGGTCGAAATCTCCTTAGCTTGACTAAAGAAAGCTGAGTATACATTAATGGTACATTCGCAAACTTCTAAGAATCGTAGAATCACAAAGACAAGATCTTAGGAGGGGACACAATCAGGTCAGCTGACCCAAACTGATCATACGATGTGAGCTTAGATATAAAAGTTCAGAAAAGGAGTAGGAAGTGGGGGTATTCTTTATTTACAACACTTGCCTTCTGCAGCAGTGGCTACACACGCTGGAGCTCTGCTTCCTGGAAAGTGTCCAGACATCACTTGTGATGCGAAGCAGAAATTTTTTTTTTTTTCCCCTTTTGCTTGTGCGCACAAACTTTGGTATTTGCTGTAGTAAAATGCCTTATCTCAACCTAGAATTTTTTTCCATCTTATTTTCTCTCCCCTGTCCATCTGAGAAAGTGGAGTGATAGAGAGGCTGGGTGGGAACATGGCAACGTTTTGAGGGTTCAGATTAGCAATAGTTGTACCTATTTCCAATCAACTTTCACATCAGAGTTCTAAAGAAAAGTAACTTTGAGCCAAATCCTCTGTAACATTCTGTTCAATAATTATTTAGTAATACATTTTGGAATCTTCAGCACTTGTATTCAAAGGTGTGAAATGTACTGATTGTACTCTAAAGAGGAAATTCTAAAAATTATCAGTTTATTTATTAAAAATGTCACTTTTCACAGTACTAGCAAAAAATATGAAAATAAAATTGCATCCTTTCTAAGGGACTTTATAATAAATATTTAATTATTAATAAGATTTCAGGGATATATCCTAATCCAAGTAGATAAAAAAGCAAGTGTTAAAATATCAGTGTCTTAACTTTTTCAAAATATTCAAGTACAACTACTATACATTGCTATTTCAAAGTACAAATGTTTACTCATGTGAATAAACAAGGAGATCTAGCATAAAATGTTTTTGTTGCAGTCAAGACTTCAGGATAAATATTTTTTTTTATTTAACAGCTGAAAGTGCAGACACCATATATAGCTGAATCCACATCACTGTTAACCAATGATTCAGCTTCTGTATAACAAGACTATAACAGAAAATGCCACCAGGTCTTAATTATGTGTTTGAAAACAATGATCAACTAGTTCTTCTGCAGCAGGCATAGCAATAGAATTGTCCTAGAAAGCTGAATATCTGGACGAAACAAATGCATTTTTGGGATTAAGAAGCATTGGAAGAAACCTTCCAATGAAGGCTTGAATTTTTTTTCTGCAAGTATCCATACCAGTTCAATTCTTTCTACTTACATTTCATCCCATACCACACAGTTGCCCTTCACCTTTCTTTGTGGCATAAGTCATGAGTATACTAAAGAAACTTGTTGATTTGTAAACACTGATAGCACACCTGTGTATATTCAAGTCAGCAGCAATATGGTAATCTTATTTGACAACAGCAAAGCAGAACGAGTTGTGTAGGAGAAAAATTCGGTTCTGCTTTGTTTATTATGTTAACAAAAGTCTAGGAATAAGCACTAACAGCTGTTGCTTGGTCTTTAAAATTTGCTGTAATCAAGCACAATGAAGTTCATCCATTTCATAAACCAAATTAACTTCTCAACCACAAAAGTAATCTAACAGACACATAAATAGTGCACTACATAGGCCATACAAGAGTTTGCTTTCTCTAACAGTCTTTTAAATTACTTATTACATGCCTGAAATGGTGGCTTTAACCCTTGCTTGCTGGTGGTTGTTCAGACTGAGATGGCTCTGAATCTGAAATAGGAAAAAAGATTAATGTTCACAGAATAACTTCAACCCTAAGAATAAAAAAGTCAACTAATTTTTTTTTTCCTCCCTCACATCAGAATGCATGGAAATTACAGTAGTTTTAAATTTGAATTAATAAGATAGACAAGCTACCCATGAAATTTGCAATACGATGCAAATCTATAACCTAACACAAAGGGGTTATAGATTTGTACATAGAATGAGTTGTACCTCCTGCCTGATGTGTCTAGGACTTATTCTGTGCAAGTGAAAACAGGGAAAGCTCTGTTTCAAAAGGGAGTTGCAAGGTGCTCATGCTGACAATTGCTTTGGATGAGCAGATAAAAGTACACAAGAGGGAAAAAATACAAGCATTACCTTCAGCTATCACCTAAAAGAATGAAAAGGACAAGGTCAAAACTGAATCAAGGTACATCTGCATGAAACCATAGTGTTAAAAGCATTAAAAAATATCTCCTTTTGCACTGAGATAAAGAATCCACTGGAATAGCTATGATTGCAAAGGAGGGTAATACAAGCAAAGCAGTTGTAATGTTATGTAAATATTGGAAAAAGGAACTCAAAAATAATATGTATCTATATAACATGTACAATATGTATCTAATCTGTGCAGCACACTGACTTTTCAGCAGCCTGTATGATGTACCCATAATTTTTTTTCTCTATGCATAAGGGATATAACCAAACCAATGTTATGATTACTCTGAAAAATCTTCAGCTTTCTTTATATCTCAAATTTCTCATTAGAGGCACACATTAAAGAAATCAACTATCACCAAATAGATGAATTTGAGATTTTGAAATCCCAAATCCTTTCATTTTACTCACAGTAATGGGAAAGAAAAATGTCAGTGCACAAGAAAATTAAACAGAATATGAAAAAAAAAAAAGAGTAATATTCAAGATTCTCTTTCAGGCTGAGGAAGAGCACTTTTAGACTCCACGGCTGAGTTGTTGGGTCACTGTGCCTCCCAAAGCAGCATCCTCTTGCGTGATCAGTTTAGATATGTAAGTTGACTTTGAAGAGTGGTTCCTCAGGTTATGCACCCTCCTCCAGGTCCAGACCAAGATCTGGCTTCATCCCTTAGTTTTATAGCAGTTTTTATTCTGAACAAAACCACACAACTTCTAGTTCTCTGTTTGCCTGTTTTATTCTTGATACTCACCTGGAGGGAGAGGTTCTGCACACCAAAACAAACAAACAAACAAAAATACTGTAGATATATTAATGGAAGACACAAAGATGAAATCAGAAAGAGCTGAAATGTCAAAGAAATTAAAATCCTTGGCCTCTAAGACTTTCATACATTAATATATCAAGCTCAAGGGAATCAAGGGATTCATATTTCCCACTGTATATAAAAGGATTTCCTGATACTAATAAAAAAAAAATTCTGGTGCATGCAATGTCTGTGTTCAATAGCATTTTAGAAGATTGCTACAGAAAAGTGATATAGCAACCATGGTTACCAAGTCAGTGTAAAAAAGCATAAGTAAAAGGTGTTTGACAGAAGTAATGGGAATTTTCTTCCCCTTTAACCTTTATATATACAACATTTATACGTAAGTGTCTTCAAATGATGTCTTTCACAGCTATTATCACTGTGCTTGACAAAGTAAGGTTTGAAATCATAGGTAAGCATTGGATAATTTTGACAAATTTTTATGACAGTGATTTATTTCTTAAACATGAGTATTAATGATGCTTGTGACAGAAGTTTCCAGAAAAATATTAGGGACAAAAGAATATTCATAACAAATAGGCAACAAATATTTTACAGTCTGCTTATATTTAGCAGGTTTGCTTTGTCCCTGCAGCATTTTACAGAAACACATCACACAGAATCCCTGTATCAGAACACAGAAGCCCCTGGATTGGAACAGAGCAAACTGCAATTGTAGAGATGAAAAAACTCCATGAAAGCACCTGCCTTCGCTGACTGCAAACAGGAGCACTCTTTCTTTAGCTGGTCATAGGGTATTGTAAACTAAGCACAGCAATTCAGTGCGTCTCACCACATTCAGAGAGCCTCACAAATTATTCAGGCTGCCCTCTGCTGTTACCTTGAGAGCCCAACTCATTTTAAAAGAAACAGCTTTCAATAGTGTTACCTTTGGGCTGGTCACTATTTTCTGATGGTTCTTGAATCTTTTTTTCCCATCTAGTACACTGCTGAAACCAGTCAGTCCCATAACCATTGCTAATTAATTTGCTGAAGTTTACTGCTTCAATTTTTCTCTGAGCAGGCCTGTAAATACAAATATATTAAAGGAAAACAAAAGCATAAGTAAACAAAAGTGGCAATTAGGTGGAAAAAGTTTATTTTGCACACGAAAAGGCCTTATAACATAATTTATTTCTAATTATAACATTATTTCAAAAATATAACCATTTATAGCCTTATTGGTTTTACATAAATACCAAAACATATAGTCTACGTGTAATCACATAAGAAAAAAACCCAACCAACCAATCAAAAAAAGCATACAACTATGCCTGATTAAGTGCTGTGTAACTTTACAGGAGAAGACCCATCCATTTTATTGGAATTTTACATGTGTAATACTGGTTGTAGAGACAAACACATGAAAAAGGGAAATCCCACAAAGAATGTGTAAGTAAAAAGGCTGACAATACTCCTTCTGTGCTGCACAAAGGTGGAATTTTGTCACAGATTTGCTCTTAAATTCATTTGATGGTTTAATCACTTATTTTGCATCAATAACACAGTTCTAAACCATACTGGGATTACTGATGACCAAGTAATAAATTTCTAAGACAAAGTATGCAGAAAAATTCAGCTGTGCACACAGATGATGATTTGATTACATCATATCACATATGATACAATAATTTGCTTAAAAAACCTCTTCCAGGTGTTCAGGACAGTATTTTTGCTGTGTCTGACCTTGCATAGACTACAGTTTATGTCTTTCCTTAATATGTCAGTCCTACTTGTGTCTGTAACCTATGATTACGAAACTAACAATGTGCACTGTTGTTTTCATCTGTTCACTGGTATCGTGAAAAAACCCCAGACCATTTAGAATATCATAAAATTGTGCTACATAAAGACATGCAAATGTATGCTTAGTTTTCCTAATGCAAAGTTACATTGAATAACTTTCCTATATAAGTTAAAGTACTATTATTTTAGTTGCTTTTAAACTATTTTAGCATCACACGTGATAGCAAGTTCAGTAGCAGCAAGGATCCACAAAGTCCATACACATATCCACTAATCTCTGCAATTTCACGAAAGTAATATTACCTGCATACGTAAATAGTTGCAGGCTTAGGTGTTTAATGAATTTCATAAGTGCACTACTTACACAGGTGGGAAGGAAAGCTTATTTGCCCCATTAAACTCCTTGATTGTAGAAACATTCGGCATTCTGCTTGGATATTCAGGGTTTATAGCTGGGAGCTTCATCTGTGTTAAAGAAGTCTTAGCTTAACAAAAGGAGTTATAAAAAAAATAACCAAGAAGACTGTGTGATAGTATAGCATTTAAAAGTGAGGGTGATATTAACAGCCCTAAATGTCTTCAGATTTAAATGTCTTATCTATAATATTTCCACAAGTAATAGTAATGGAGTATAGAGGAACAGCAGAAGAAAAAGCTACCACTTACTTACTTATTCTACAAGATTAACTGTTTGTTCTCTCCATAATGGGCTCCACACAAGCCTTTCCCTCACAGGACACTTTCACACAAAATTAAGCTTCAAATTCAAACTCACCCATTGCAACCTCTCATCTTGGTCTATTTCTCTGTATGTAGTCTATGAAAACAGCCCAGTCTTACTAAAGTCAGGGATACCAGATTATAACTTTCAGCTTAATTATTTTTTTATAAAATTAATAAAAAGCATAAAACATTCCATACAAGAAAACAGTTGTGGTAAATTAATTAGAGGTTTGAAATTTAAACAAATGCACATATGTTGGCAAAAGCCTACAATAGGAAAAGTGTATTTTACTTTTATCATCTTTCACTTGACAGCTTGACAATGACAGTTAAAGAAACTCAGTTTTGATTGAAAGACAGAAAGATGACACCTAGAAAGCCAGTGAAAAGACTTCACATACTCTAGAACTGAAAGTGGGAAAACTGAAAGAAATGGAGAAACATTAGCAACACATATCAAAGCTGTTTATTTTAACTTTGATCAAAATCAACAACTTCTAAAGGGTCAACTTACTGTGCACACTGAGTATGGAAAATGCAAAGAAAAGTATAATTGCATTTGAATACATCTAATCAATGAACTAATTAAGAAGCTTCTAAAAAACCAGGAGACCAAAGTAGCAAGTGACAAAATGACAATTACTGACAAAAAAGCAAGATCAGAATTTGGGTTTGGAGGGCACCTGAAACCCTGTCAGGCGCTGTTTTTGCTGGGCAAAACTCAGCATTAAAAGCAGACCCTTGTGCCACTACACCCCAATGGTTAAGGTGAGGGGACATTTTCGCTTTGATAAGCCTTTGTTTAGCAGCCATCAATTTTCCCAGATAAAACAAACTATGTAGGATTTTTTTTTTTTACATGTTCTTGGTTTAAAGGGTTTTCTTCCTTTCTGAAGAGATAGCAATGACATACTCTAAAAATTACTAAGTGTATTTATTATATATACACATTTATTAGTCTCAGATTCAAGACACATGAAATACGGTATGTATTGTGCCTGGCTGGTATATGAAGAACAATGGATACCTGCAGCCAGCATGGAAAGCTAAAAGCTCCCAGATGAAATCCTGGCTTCCCTGTGATCAAGGACAAAATTCTAGATTACATTTCAAATCTCTGAGGTAAAATCCTGACCTCAGATAAGCAATCCTTTTGCTACAGCACACACATACCTATGTATGCATGCATATATACACAGACATTTCAGGCAAGTGCCTGAAACAGAAGACTTCAGAGATGAAGCAGTAATCTTACCAGTGCTGCAGGGAGATTGGCTAATGCTGATGCAAACCCTGATACCACCTCCAACTGATCTCCCACCCATACAGATGCCTCCCTCCTTCTTAAGGTCACAGATTTTCAACCCAATCCAGTTGGGACAGATAATGCACAGGCACAAAGACCACAGAATCACAGAATGGTTTGGGTTGGAAGGGACCTTAAAAATCATCTAATTCCAAACACCCTCTGCCACAGGCAGGGACAATTTTCACTAGACCAGGTTGCTAAGAGCTCCATCCAGCCTGGCCTTGAACACTTTCAAGGATTGGGCATACACAGCTTCTCTGGGCAATGTGTTCCAGTGCCTCACCATCCTCATAGTAAAGAATTTCTTCCTTAAATCTAATCTAAACCTACTTTCTTTCAGTTTGAAGCCATTCCCCCTTGTCCTGTCACTGCATGCTCCCCCTCTCCATCTTTCTTGTTGGCTCCCTTCAGGTACTAGAAGGATGCAATTAGGTCACCCTGAACCCCTCTCTTTCCCAGGCTGAAGAATCCCAGCTGTCTCAGCCTGTCCTCATAGGAGAGGTGCTCCATCCCTCTAATTATCTTGATGGCCTCCTCTGGGCTCACTCACAGGTTGATATCCTTCCTGTCCTGCCAGAGCTGGATGCAGTGCTCCAGGTTGGATCTCACCAGAGCAGAGTAGAGTGGCAGAATCCCCTCCCTTGACCTGCTGGCCACACTGCTTTTGATGCAGCCCAGAATACAATTGACCTTCTCGGCTGTGAGTGCATATTGCCAGCTCACGTCCAGCCTCTCATCCACCAGCACACCTAAGTCCTTCTCAGCAGGGCTGCTCTCAATCTTTTCGTACCCCAGCCTCTGTTGATACCACGGTTGCCCCAACTCAGGTGCAGGACTTTGCACTTGGTCTTATTAAACCTCATGGGATTCCCATGGGCTGCTTCTTCCTGGGCCAGAAGTCCATCACTTTACCATGAGCACAAAGGCTAAATCCTTCATACACTAGCACATCTTTGCTGCTTTGCAAAATTCCCAGCAGAATGAAAATTACTGCCATGATTAAGGTGTTAAGGAGGAACTATAGGATCCATCTCGAGGTGTGGAGAAACAATGTAATAATCCCCCTCTTCTCCAGTCCTCTACACAGCAACAACCATGAGGAACACTGGAGATTTTAATACTTCATTAAAAAGCAGCATAAAGGCTTAAACCTCCAGAGCAGGGATCCACTTGGGAACAATGTTGCCATTGTTTTCTTCCTCCAGCTGAAGAGGTACCTTTATAGGTTAAAATGGTTTTGCACTTGTCCCTAAGGGCACCCTTTGGGATTTAACTCCATGAGTGCATCACCTCTCTCTCTTTCGAATAACTGCTTAGTCAGACTGGACTGAAAAATATTTTCAATACATTCAGTCTCAATACTTGAGTTAGTTTGCTGCTGCATTATCATCATGCAGTCAAATAAATAAATTGAATATTCCTTAAAAACTTGCCTGTGGTGTTTTGGAATACATCTCTTAAAAGATGTATGGTGAAAAAAACTAAAACTGAGATTGTTTGGGAGGGCTTGTTTCGTTGCCTGACTTGGAAGACTCTTTGGGAAGGCACTCTTAAAACACAGGATAGAAGCCTCCCAAAAGAGGACACAAGAAATAGATGTAAAAGAAGCAGCATGTGCTGTTTCAAGATACATGATACGCTTTTCAGGGTACAACAAAGATACTGTGAAGGGCAGCCATATCAGAGATGATGGTTTGAAGGCAGAGTAAACCTAGCGACACAGAATCTGCATTCTTAGGCACCTAACCTTAAACAGAAACATTTGGTAGATTTAGAACTTTAGACAAAACTCAACTTCAGCTTTCCGAAGAACAGTGTAAATTATATATCATAGGGCCTCAGCAGATTCAGAATCTGAGCTGAATATACAACATATATTCACTTTGTATTTAATGATAAATAAAACACATGGGAACTTTCAATCGCATGAGTGAATGAAACTGGATCTCAATCAAGCTCCATCCAAACTGAAATGGACCTCAGTCTCACAAGTCACCACACGGATTTGAATTATTCTTACTGTTATTAAAGTTTGACTCTTAAAACACTTAAGATAATTGGTTCTTAAGTAAGGGAGTGAGGGACAGCACTTTCTCTCTGTCCTAATTCAATCCTTTAAGATGCTCTGCAGCAGGCAAGTTTTTATTTTCAGTGCCTTAAATCTATGACTGAAAAAAAGCTTCACCAAGAAGCATCAGGCAAATTATGGTTTAAACATGCATTGCTTGTTTGCCTATTGCCACAGATTAAGTAAACATTCCTGAGCCTATTCAGTAATGAAGTATTCCCACTTACACAACCCATCATTCTGAACTTGCACTAGTTACTCATCTCAGCAAAGGCTAAGGACTTTTTTTTCCTAAAATGTGCAATATCTGCCCTTCTGTTCAAGAAAGGAGGTACTGGTATCCAAGCACATCAAAAGCCTGTCCATGTATACCCCAAAGACCTATGGTATATGTGGCAACCAAGATTATGGAGGATTATTTAAAAAACATAAGGCTTCAGCATCTAAAATGGGCAGGGGCAGGGAGTATGAAAGAGGGAGGATAGCAGAGAGGTTTCCAGGACAAAACACTAATATCAGCACAGAAAGGTTTGTTCTAGACATAGCTATGCCTACATTGTCTTGGATACATCTTTCATTCAAAGACAGCTAGTGCAGTATCTCTAGGCACTTTCTTAAATTTCAAACTAAACCAAACTCCTTCTTCAGAACAATCTTCTGTTCTTATCTCCTTCTTCTTTCTTCTTCACCCAAGATTACTTAACAAGAAGTCTCTTCACCAAGAATGAATTGCAGAGGAAATAAAGCAGAAGAAGAAAGAAACTAACTACTGGCTTTCATTCACACTGAAGTATATGCACCATATAATGTGATTAGAATCTTTGTTTCTCATTCTTATGCTACACCAGCAGCACTTAAACATGGCTTTCTTCTCATTCTCTAACTGCAATACAAAAATTGCTTCTGGAATACAGAAACCTGTGTGGATTACAGCTTCCCTTCTAGAAGAAGCAACAGGCCCAGACAGAGCTGCGTCCACAAGCTCTACAAAGCATCATCACAGAGTGCTTCTCCATCCTACCTTCTTTTTCTCTGCATTTTCTCTGCCCTCAGCATCCCGCTGCCAAACACTTTTCGTATCAAAATCAGAAGGTCCTCTTCTTGCCTCATAACTGTTACCATGATGGTCATCAGCCTTAAACTCTCTGTGAATCATATATTCTGGTAGAGAGGAAGCAGAGCTCCTGCAGGCAAAGATTTACCACCTGTTTGCACCAGGGATACCAATCTTGCACTTAAGTACAGAAGTGTTCTGAAATGTTAATAAGTGAAGACAGAACCCAAGATGTTATGTGGGGCTTACCTTGGCTCATCCATCGCTGGGGGACTGGTGTGGTGTAAGTACCAGTCAGGTGCAGCATATGCTGCTGAAGGGGACTTCGTTACCACAGGAGTGTCGTGCTTCAGTAGGTCTGGAGAGAAAAAGACAAAAGTCACCACTTTTCTGACTTCTTCTCTGGTTGCAAAAGCATTACCTTTGTTTTCAGGTTGACGTTTTGTCAGGAAGAAATGCTTGCATTCTTCAGTAAGGAGGATTTGTCTCTCTTGATAATACAGTCAGAACCTTGCAGTGATTGTGTTCCATCTGTACCTTGTTTGCCTTGCTCTAAATGCTTTGACATGTTTCTGCTGCTCAGTTAATTCATATTTCTGGACTTGTTGCTCTGCTCTGAGTGTGCATCTGCTCAAGTTCCTCAAGCTTCCTTCTTCAATAAAAAAGGAAATAACAAACCCACACATCACCCTGGTACAAGAACAGAATATGTACTGCACTGTAACAGAATGAAGTAATTACAAAAAAATGCTTTATAAACCTCTACCAAGTTTTCTGATGACGGTTTTTTGTGAAATTATTTTCATCACAAAAATTTCATACTACTTAAAATAGCCCAAGCATAAATTGCAGAAACCTCACTCAAATGCAGCCAGACCATCATCACCTATTTACACCAAACACGGGGCAAGATCACATGTTTTGCTAAAGAGCACCTATACACAACAGACTGCAAGGATGTCTTGACAAGGTGATCTCTATGTCACATTTTCATTCACTCACGTTTCCCACAGGTTAATTTCAAAAGTCCAGAGGATCCTTCTGTAGCACCTACAAGCACTTTATACCACGTTCAAGCAAAGCCAAAGAAAATGAAGGAAGACCAAAGAAGCAAGACAGATGCTCACCAGGTTGGCCTCCTTGCTTTGCCAGCCTCACATAAGCTGAATCAGTCTCTTTGATCCACTTCTTGTGGCACCCAGAAGGTGGCACTTCATGGGGAGCTTTTAAAAGGTCACTGAAACTCTGGGATGTTGGGGGAAGTGGGCTTTTCCCTGGTTCTTTCAGCGGCATGGGGTATTACCATCCTGTGATAATGGAAAAGAAGATATTTATACTAAAAGTTAACTACTAGCATCCCTTTTTCAGGCAACAGACAAACTGAGCACACCTGGAACATGAATGAGGTGCTACATTTTGGCTGGATACAAAAGACCAGGCTTGCTTACTCCAGGGGATATAGCACTTTTGTTTCAATTTTGAAACACCGTTCAGGTTTTGCTGTAAAATGTTCTAATCCACTTCAGTCAGAAAACTATTCCCAAGGGCACCAAAAGCAGCAAGAGGCATTGGAGACAGCAAGAAACACTTTAGCCTTTGGTTTCCTTTCTTTCTCATGCATTAACAAAAACAGCACCTGTCCGTTTGCAGGTCTTTATTTGTAAAATAACCAAACTTGATCCTCAAATAAAAATAATTTTAAAAACTAACACTCAACACTCTATGTCTCCATACATTACTTTCTCAACTTCTAGTGAGCAAAAGAAAATATAAATAAATCCTTCATAATGGTAAAATGGACAGCAAGCAAAGAAGAAAAAGCCAGTGGAAGGCGCTGTGCCATGGAAGGTGAACAGGCACTTACCGAAGCTCCTCCAGGTGCAGCTGATGCCGTTCTGTCGGTGTTAATGGGATCACCTCCAGGCTGAAGCCCCTGGGCACACACGCGTTGGCTGTGCCCAAACTCAGCCCCAAGGAACAACAACAACCCAAAGCGCTGCTTCTCCCCGGCGTCAGGGGGAGGAGGCACCAGCCGGCGCCCGCTGCCGCCCCCCCAATCCCTGTCCAAGGCTGCGCGGCCGCGTTCCCCCGGCGCTGTCCCGGTGGCACTGCCCGGGATCCCCCCGCCGCCGCAGCTCAGACACCGAACCGCGGTGACCCGACCGGGGACCGACAGCCCCAGGGAACGGGAGGGACGGGCCCCGAGGGTGAGTCGCGGGAGGAGCCGGAGCCCGGCAAGGGGGTGCCTTCCTCCTCCCTCCCTCCCTCGGCAGGCGGACGAGGGCGGTGCGATGCTCGCTACCCGCGGCAGTAGCAGCCCGGAGAGGAAGGGAGGGAGGAGAGACCCCGCCCGCCCACCCGGATCGCGCCGCTACTGGGAAGAAAGAGAAATGAACTCCATTCCAGCTGAAACCCATACGAATTCCACCCCTTTTCCCATGCCATTTACCGTTCTGTACTATTTAGTCTTTGCCTTCTGGACGGTCTGCGATCGCTTCCAGGATTCCTGGACGACTGAGGGTTTCCTGTTGGAGCTCCGTGTCTGATAAGTCCGACCCACTTACTCCATGTAGCATCGGTTGCAGCCGTGTAGGGGAGACCCTCCCTTAGAACGGCCAGCCCAACACGAGTAACCAGGATGCCAGAATCTATGCTTCAGTACACTTCCAAACCAGCTCAAACCCCTTCATAAGCTGCTAGTATCTCTTTTTAAGTTGGAGTATAGTGGACTTCAGATCCTCTGTATCCCCGACTCCAGAAACCTAGAGGAAAACCCCAAGTCTCTGCAGGTACTTTCTGCCAGAGGCTCCAGCTAGGAGCATTGTCCCCAGCTGCAGTAGAGAGCATATTTTTTAAGTCTTGCCCTGCCTGGACTGGCCTAAGGGTGACTGCATGACTTGTCTCCTGTCTGGTTGGTTCAAAGGCTTGTTGTTGCTCAGGGCTGGTTGCATCATGCTGTGGGGTGTGCCAGGTTGCATGCTGGTTGGTGAACTTGTGTATGTTCTATGCATCTTCTGTGCCATGGGGCAATCCCACCCTTCCCACACAAACCCATCCCCACACAAACTGCTGCTGCTTAATGCGTTTTATTGGTTGACCAAGCTTGGGGGGCTAGAAGCAGGGGTGGGGCTCTTGGGAGTCTGCAGGGGAGAGCTAGGAGTTCAGGTGGTATGGTTGGGGGTCCAGAGCTTCACTCCTCGTTGAGTCCCTTCTGATGGAGAAGGAGAGAAAGGGAGTGTGAGCATGAGGCAGTTGTCAGATGGCCATGGGGCAGCTGTTGGGGCAAGGGGAAGTCCCACCTTGGCTCCAATGTCACGGCTCTTGGCCCGCAACTTGTTGACCTGGGACTCAGCAATGTCAGCACGCTCCTCTGCCTCATCCAGCTCATGCTGTGCCTTGCGGAACTTGGCCAGGTTGGTGTTGGCTTGTTCCTCCTGGAGGGCAGGGGCATAAGCAGGGCTGCCCTACAGCTTCATCTATCCTCCTGCCACCCCCCTGCTCTCTGTGCATCCAAATTTGTAGTTGCTCCATCTGGCCCACCATGGACCCACCTGTCCCTCCAGTAATCCCATCTTCCAGCCACCCAACCATCTACTCAACCATCCATTCATCCATCAGTCCATCCATCCAACCTTCCACCTACTTAGACTTCCAGCCACTTCTCCAGCCATCTAGTCAGTCACCCATCTGTCTCAGCTTCTTTCCAACCAACCAATCATGCATCCCTCCATCCATTATTCCAACCTTCACACATCCCACCATCGTCTCTCCATCCCACTACCATCCACATTCCTCAGCCCCTGACACCCCACCCCTTGGCCACCTCATTCTAAGGTCACCTGCAACTCCCCACATCCAGTCTCACACCCCAACCTGACACCATTCCCTCCTGGGGGTGGTCCCAAAGCTGCCCCCCACTGCTCACCGCCTCCTCTGCCTGTCGCTTGTAGGCCTTGACCTTCAGCTGGAGCTTGTCCACCAGGTCCTGGAGCCGGACCATGTTCTTGCGGTCTTCCTCCGTCTGTGAGGTGAGACATGTGTGGGTCACCACCAGAGCAGTGAGGGTCAGGAGAAAGTTAGAGATGATCTTGGGAAGTAGAGGCCCTCTAGATCTGTGGGTGGCCTCAGCTGTGGGGCAGAAGATGTGATGTCCCCCTGGGTGAAAGTGTCTTTTTTGCCCTGTTGAGGTCCCACCTGAGGTTCTGGATCATGCAAAGACCCCATTTATACTGGAACAGCAGGAAGTGGCTTGGGTGGCTTATGACCACTGGGCCTACCATGTTCTGGGTCCCACAGCAGTATTGGACATAGAGGCAGTGGGTTCGTTCACTCGTGTCTCACTGGCAACTAGATCAGCCATGTTATAAGTCATGTACAGCATCAGACATAAGGCCCTGTGGACACAGGGCCAGAGGATGACCTTTTGGGCTAGCTCAGATGCCCCACCTGGTAGCTGAGCTCCTTGACGCGACGTTCGGACTTGCGGAGACCCTTAATGCTCTCAGCATTGCGCTTCTGCTCAGCCTCCAGCTCATTCTCCAACTCCCTCACACGGGCCTCCAGCTTCTGCAGCTGCTTCTTGCCCCCCTTGAGGGCCAACTGCTCAGCCTCATCCAGCCTCATCTGCAGGTCCTTGATGGTCTGCTCCATGTTCTTCTTCATCCGCTCCAGATGGGCGCTGGTATCCTGCTCCTTCTTCAGCTCCTCTGCCATCATGGCCGCCTGTCCGAGGAGAGAAGCAAGCAGAAAAGGAGGTCCATTAACCTCCACTGGAAGATATCCTAGCTGTTGTTCCTGCCACAACACTCACGTCAGTAATAGCCTTCTTGGCCTTCTCCTCAGCATTCCTGCACTCCTGGATGGCCTCTTCCACCTCCGTCTGCAGCTGGGAGATGTCAGCCTCCATCTTCTTCTTCTGGTTGATGAGGCTGGTGTTCTGGAGATGGAGAAGAGGATCTCATGAGGTGTCTGTGGAACTGCCAATCCATCCTTCTTCATTACTTAATGCCCCCACCCCTGCCAACTCTGCAGGCTTCAAGGATCTGGACATCTTGGTAACTCAACCCATTAGAATCCCACCCCCATGGATGGAGGTGACCTCTTTCCTTGAAAGTGCATGAGGTCTCACCTGGGAGTGGAGAAGCTGGACCCTCTCACTGGCCTCGATCAGCTCCTGCTCGGCCAATTTGCGGGCTCTCTCAGTCTGCTCCACCACTGCCTGCAGTTCCTCCAGCTCGGACTGGAGGAGGTTGTTCCTCCTCTCCACGATGGCAATATTCTCCTTCAGGTCCTCATTGGCCCTGACCACGTCATCCAGCTGCAGTTGGGTGTCCTGTTGGGACAAATGGGATGGACCTCAGCCAGCAGTTTCAAGGGGCTGGGAGGATATCCTTAGAGGTTAGTGATCCCACCTTGAGATGAGCCTGGGCTCCCTTCAGGTGGGACTGAGCTTCAGCTGCCACACGGTTGGCATGGCTGAGCTGGATCTCCATCTCATTGAGGTCACCCTCCATCTTCTTCTTCAGACGCAGGGCCTCGTTGCGGCTCCGGGTCTCAGCATCCAGTGAGGTCTGCAGCGAGTCCACCACCCGCAGGTGGTTGCGCTTGGCCTGCTCCATCTCCTCGTCCTTCTCGGCCAGCTTGCGCTCGTAATCTGCCTTGACCTGGTTGAACTCCAGTTGGGCCCTCAGGATCTTTCCTTCTTCATGCTCCAGAGAGGCCTGGAAAGGGACAGAGGGAAAATTGAGGACCACAGAGAAAGACCAGAACAACATGGAGATGCACGGGGATGGGATTTGGCTCACTTCAGCCTCCTCCAGCGCTGCTTGAAGCTCCAGCTTCTCAGCATCCAGCTGTTTCCGGACCTTCTCCAGCTCATGGATGGTCTTGTGGCTGCCACCCAGCTGCTCCGTGAGGTCCGAAATCTCCTCTGCTCAGGTGAGATCCTGTCAGACTTGGTAGAGGTGGTAGAGAACAAGTTGGGCAGGGGAGGGCCACACTCTTACCTTGGAGGTTCTTGTTTTCCCTTTTGAAGGTCTCCAGGTGCTCAAGCGACTCCTCGTAGGCATTCTTCAGCTTGAAGAGCTCAGTGCTGAGGGACCTGGCCTCTTTCTGTGATGCCTCCAGCTCCATCTGTGACTCTTCAAACTTCTGCTTCCACTCAGCCAAGATCTGGGCCCAAGCAAGTGGTCACCCTCTGTCCACATGTCCCCCATCTGCTGCTGTCTCACCACCATGTCCTCTCACCTTGTCAAAGTTCCTCTGCTTCTTGTCCAAGGCAGCAGCTGCTGCATTCGACCGCTCCACATCTGCCATCAGGTCCTCAATCTCATTCTGCAGCCGGTGCTTGGTCTTCTCTAGAGAGGAACACTTGGCATTGACCGCCTCCACTGCCTCCTCAGCCTCCTGCAGCCGCTGGGCCAGCTTCTTCCTGTCCCAGGGGACAACATGGCTGTGGTGACCCATGGACCAAGTGGACCAACTCAAACCTTCTTCCACCCATCAGTTGGACAAGGCTCTGCTCTTGGTTTTTCTCTGATATCTCCTGGTCTTTCTACCTTCTCCACATCCTTCTACAGTGGAAGAGTCTCTGCTTTCCCCTGCCTCCTAGAAGCTCCCTTCATGGGGGGATGACTTACTTGGCTTCCTCGAGTTCCTCAGTGCGCTGGATGGCATCTGTCTCATACTTGGTCCTCCATTGTGCCACCTCAGAGTTGGCCTTGGAGAGCGAGCGCTGGAGCTCAGCCTTGGCTTCTGTCTCCTCCTCATACTGCTCCCGCAGCAGGTCACAGTCATGCCGGGCCGACTGGAGGGCGTGGGCCAGTGCATTCTTGGCCTGCAGAGAGGCAAGTGCAGAGAAAGTGAGCTTGAGGTACATCTTGGTCCTCAAACTGTGTAAGCTGTGTTTTCCCTCAGCCCAAAGTTCTCTAGAACATCCCAACCAAATTCAGCACCTCTAGACCCATAGA